ACCTTTGGGACTTCTTCAAGCTCCAATGCCCTGGGACTAGTTTGGTATGGTAGTTACATAATCTCATGGAAACTTGTTAATAGTGAAAGGGTGGAGTCTAGCCTATCAATCAGGTCACAGCCTCATGGTCCTTCCTTATGGGCATGACCTCCTCATAAGGAGGGGCCTGGGAACCTCCCCCATTTTCTCTGCTTCACCTTCCTGCTACTCAGTCACTCAAAGAGCTGCCGGAGCCACCGCCATTGGACCCACAGCACTCTGCACCCACCAGCTGATGATGTCCCTGTGTTCTGCATCATTGCATGTGACTTCATGAGTCTGAAGTGGAGCTTATGGACTAGAATTGGACACATTTTTTCTGATATATAACCACTTCTTGATATACAGCTATCTCTTACACATAAATGAGTATCCTTGAATTTGTTTCTCTAACCAAACTGGCCAAACGCACTTAGTATTAATTCTTACAAAATAAATTATTACCATGCAATGTTTAAGAGGTGTGTGCAGCAGATTTGTTCAATGCAATATGTCATTTGATTTCTTGACTGCTGCTGGATTGTGGATCTAGGTAAAATGAAAACCTTGGTCACTTCAATCTTTACTTTCTTCATGAAGTTAATTGTGTATTTGGTTCAGTTTTGAGGATATTTGTTTTCTTTACATTAAGTTGCAATCTCTACTGAAGGCTGCAGTCCTTGATCTTCATTAGCAAGTGTTTCAAGTCTTCCTGGCTTTCACAAGGGGGCTGTGTCATCTGCATATTGCAAGCTGCTAATTAGTCTCCAATCCTGATGACACCCACTTCACTAATGCAGCTTCTCAGATTATTTGTTTTGCAAACAGACTAAGTATGATGAAAGGATAAAACCCCGATGCACACCTTTCTGGATTTTAAACTTTCCTGATTTAAACCATGCATTATTTTTCTGGTTCTCTTCAAAGGACTTCCTCTTGGTCTATACAGGTTCCACATGAGCCCAGTAACTGTGCAGAAATTCCCATTCTCAATGTTATCCATAGTTTGTGAAGATCCACACACTTGAATGCCTTTGCACAGACAATAAAAGAAAAGTTAAACAACTTAGCAATGGTATCCCTTGTTCCACAATCTTTTCTGAATCCAGCTTGATTCCTGGCTGCTTCCTGTTGATGCACTGTTTTTTAATCATTGTTGGCAAAATTTTATCTGCATGTGATGTTAATGATGTTGCATTCTGTTTTGGGGTCACCATTCTTGGGAGTGGGCACAAGTAAGAATCTCTTCCAATATGTTGGCCAGGTAGTTGTCTTCCTAACTTCCTGAAACATTTTGATTGGTATTCTGTCAATTGCTGGAGCCTGGTTTTCTGCCAATGTTTTCAGTGCAGTATGGGTTTCTTCCCTCAGTATCACTGGTTCTTAATTATATGCCACCCCTGAAAAAGGTTGAATGTTGACAATTCTTTTTGGTACAGTGACTCTGTGTGCTCCTTTATTCTTTTGATGCTTCCTGCATTGTTCAATATTCTGCTCAGATTCCTTCAATATTGTTACCATTTGGAATCAGTAATAAACAAGTAACTAGTTAGTTTGACAGAAGTTGTTTTGATATAGTGGTGGTGATTTACATCAGAGATTTACATTGGTTTCTCCTGATTGAAGTAGGTAATGAAATAAAAAATGGGTTAAGATAGAAAGAAATACACACAAGCAACAAAGCCCACATGGAACAACATATCAACCTGTGTGATCACAGGGTGTCGAACGGATCACTGAAGGCAAATGGGTGCA